AACGAATATCGACATACGTCAATAGGTAGCACGGAAACATATGTGCCCAGGTCCTGTCTTTTACTTGCAATTTGATATCAGTCGCAGCTCTGTATGTAAGAGATAGTAGATACATTAAAATGGATTTCCTATGCATTTTGATCGTATATAATTATAATACAAAGAATTTTTTTTAAGGCGGTGTCAACATCTGTCTCTGTCTCTCTGGCTCTGTCTCTCTCTGTGTCTCTGTCTCTGTCTCTGTCTGTCTGTCTGTCTCTCTGTCTCTCTCTCTCTCTCTCTCTCTCTGTCTCTCTGTCTCTCTCTCTGTCTCTATCCGTCTCTCTATCTCTCTCTCTCTCTCTCTCTCTCTCTCTCTCTTTATGCATATCCTAGACCAGGCGCGGATCCAGGATCTCTTGGGGTGGGGGCCCAAATTTGAAATCAATTTGAAATTAGGTGTGCTGTAATTTGAAAATCGTGTCGACCAATATTTCGCTCAGTGGGGGGGGGGGGGGGGGGGGGGGGGGGGGAGTGGTGAGCACTTAATTTATTTTATTTTTTGCTCCCGACAATTTGAAAATCGCGCCGGCCGATAATTCGCTTGAGCGCCAGGGGGGGGGGGGGGGGGGGGAGGGGCCCATCTCCAAAAAAAAAGGTAAAATTAACATGTTTTTATACGTTTTTTGTCAGGGGTGGGGTTCCGATCCGCCACTTTCCTTGACCACAGTAAAGGTTAGAAGGAAATGGCTGCACTATGTATCCAGGCTACTTGGCACCTCTATCGTTGCTATAGGCACGGCCAAGCTCCCCTTAAAAAGTTGCAGTCTTGTCTTTCGAGGGGGGGGGGTCAACAATAATCCAGAAAAGAAGAATACCCAGTACATAAACGATATTATCTCAAAGAGTAGAATGGTTCTTTTTTTAATAATTATTGACCCAATAATATTAGTTGGTGATGATCGTATTTTTTGTTGACCCCCCCCCCCCCCCCCTCTTTTTCTTTTCTTGAAGCCCATGCGTAGTCTTTCTCAGATTGTTTTCTACTTGAACGATACTCGACCATTTGGCTTGATTTTTTGTATGAATTTATATTTTGGTCCTCCAAATCTCCAATTTTGCCTACATGTTCAGTTTTAACGTTCAATGGTCTTTTTTAAGTCCTTTTCAGAGGTTCGATAAATTTTCATTAGGACAGTTACCCAATACACTTTTTGTCGTTCAGAAAAATACTGAGGCGGCGATTCCCAATTGCTGATGAAAATCCGTTTCAACTGCATAGGGAAGTCCAGAGCCTCACCCCCACTTACCCCAACCTACCCCTCACCCCGTCATCATTGGGCCAGGACCGACCGAGTCATCAGAAACTCTACCACCTGGAGTAGGTGTGCTATCAAAGGCTACATCATCAGAGTTCCTTCGTCGCATCACAGAAGCGGAGCTGGAATAGACAAAGTGTATCATGCAATAAAAAAAGATCTTGCTGAAATAAAGACGCTCGTCCATAAAGTAGATTGTATTTATGATGATGACGGTTGATGTGTAAAGTTATTACATTATTGGGAAATAAGTATATGTAGTAGGTCTGTGATCTATATGTGATTGTATTATTTAAGAGTTCGTTCTGAAAACTATTCATGAATATTAGCAATCTAGAGCCAGCAATGGTTCCAACGATAGATCACACGTTTCTTGTCGTGTCCCGAAATACATGCTAATTTTTAAAGTTCGAAATAGAGGTCATTGTTTAAACAGATGCCCTCATATTTGTGTATTTTAACAACTTTGTTTTGGTTACACGTAACTTTCCTACCATCCAATCCGAAAAAAGAAATTTAATGGAGTTTCTGATCAATTGTTGATTATCTTTTCCTTGAAGTGGGAGAGAGAGAGGAGCAAGGACAGAAGGGCTAATGAGTATTATGGTGCCTAACTCTTGCCTTTACCGGGAATAACGAACAAACATAATAATGTTGGTTATTTAACTTTGCATTTCGATATTTCCTTATAGTTACAGATCACAATAAGAAAATTCTCGTTATAAGCCAACGCATCAACCCAAAGGGATTTAAATGGTTGATATCTTTATATTGCATTTCAATGGCATTGATATATAGCATTGTTATCATTATTACGAATATAAAATAACTTTTCAAATTGAAATAATATATTAATCCTACTAGAAAACGAAAGGAGTCGAAATTATCAAAAATAAATAAAAAGAAAGGAGAGAGAAGCGCCGAATAGAAGGCTTAAAGAGGCCGCTTGTCGTCCTCCGACATCTGTTTGCTTCGACCACGTTCCTTGTTGATGACTTGTGACTTTGAGGCCCAGATATTAATTTTACCGCCATTTGTCATTCAGCTCAATAACAAAATACTTTAAAAAGCCTTAAGGGGTAAGAGCACTTTTTTGGGGGGGATCCATGATTTCATGAAAAATTTCGCAACGACTCGGCCAGCCGCTGAATAAAAGAGGGAGGGGGGGGGGGTGTAAGAGCACATTGTTTGGAGGTCCCGAAATTTGAAAATTTGGCCGATCGATATTTCGTTTCGTTGGGGGGGGGGTCACCCATTAGAATTTTGATTTTTTTTTTTTTTTTTTTTTTTTTTTTTTTTTTTTTTTTAAATGATTTTTTTAAAATTAAAACAAACAAATTGAGGGGGGGGGGGCTTCCTCCAAAAACACACACACCAACAAAATTGAGGAGGGGTTCGACCCCCCCCCCCCCTCTCTCTCTCTCCTGGTTAGGGTCTATAGGGTCGTGTGGTTTGTTTATTATTAGCATCATCATCATCATCGACATCATGAGCACCATCATCATCATCATTATTATTATTATGAATATTACATGTTTTATCATTATTATTATTATTACATGTATTATCATTAACATTATCATTATTATTATTACCATTAATTTTACTATCATCATCATCATCACCATTATTATTATCATCATTAGTAACAGAAGTAGTAGTGTCGTTGCTGCTGTTATGAGATTCAGTGTTACCCTTCTACTCTTTGCTTTGTCTCTCACCTCTTCCCTCTTTTCTCTACCCCCTTATCTTTCCTCTGTCTCCTCACTATCCTGTAGAGTTGGCCCATCTTCTCTTGTCTCTAGCCCTCATTCTCTTTCTCAGTGGACTCATTCCTCCTCCTCCTCCTCCTCTCTACCCCAACTCCAAAAGCATAATTTATATTTTTCCATTCCAACTATTGAAATAATTATGGCTCATTCCAATACTGTGCATCGGAGTTTAACCTCATCCTATTGTTTAGAATGTAAGGGAGTTGCTGGTAGTATTTACTGCAGTACTGGTGGAGTCACCAACTACTACCAGCAACTATTACCAGAAACTATTTTATGTTGGTAAAAACATAATTGACACTTGCTAATCTCGCAATGAAACATTTAAACAACGTCTCCAATGGACCATTTGGTACCTTCATGTCTTCAATTCTAAGATAGTAAAGAATAAATGTTTTTATTATGAAGTGTTCAAACAAATTTCTTTGAAAATGTCCCATTTTGACTCCCTGAAATCCAAAACGTAGATATTTAATAAGCACAAACAGAAGTACATAAGAATAACCCTCTTTTATTTCTTCACAATCCGACACAAACTGGACTTTCACCGTGACAAATTATTCTTGTCGTAGAAAAATTGTAATGGCCATCCAGACAAAATTGTTAATGGAGAACTAACCCCAAAGAATAAGTGTAGGTATTCTAAAAAACGAGATGAATTCCTGCCATGTGGTGTACAATAAATCTGAACAATTGTAACTCATTTTTTTTTAAATTCTAAAATATAGAAGGTGAAAATATATTCAATTTATGCGAAACCTTCACCTGAGAACTGCACCAACTTATTTATGCAATTTGCGTTCCGGCAATTGGAGTACAAAGGATAATAGCAGGTGAATGAAATGCCCCAACACCACAAACACCTGGAAAGGAAGCATCTATAAATTTGAATACATTAGGTTGATAAACGACTCCGCAAAGTACGTCATGCTATCAAGAAAATGGCGATGCCCATGTCTTGCTGAAAAACTGTACTTTATTCTTGCTTTATGCCTTTCTCATACACTTTGGTGGGGAATCTTGAAGATTAATGGGCAATAATGCAATAAATCTCTCAGAACAACTAAAGTTATTCTTTGGGGTTAGTTCACCTTTAAGTACAAAATGACTCAATCACAATAGAATTGGTATATTTTAGATTTAATGTGGCACGATAGCACATACAAAAACTTGCAGCTTTTGATATACCATACAACATCAATACAGTGATACTTCAGCATTATTTAAGTATTGCAAAATCTCACTATCGCTCGTCTCAAACCTTCTTCAGCAATTTAATCTTATTTTGTGCCCTTCTTCATTTAATTTCAGTTCTCCTTGATACTCATCTGCACCATCTTATTAGTCCAGTCATTTTACTTTTCTTCTTTGCCTCCTATGATAGCCTCCATGTGTCAACTGCAGTATGCAGTATGAAAACTCGACTCTGTTTAATACACATGCCATTAACATTCATTAATTTCCTACAGAATTCAGATGAATCTAGGGATTCTATGCTTCTGTCAAAAGAATACTTTGCATACTTACAAACAAATTCATTCAACTGCACATAATTTACAGTATCAATTTTGCTTGCATAATTACCTTGACCATAGTTCTAGCATTGAATTAAAAGTAACAAATATGCACATCTCTTACTGCAATATAATCAAGACATGTACTCATAATTTAGACGTTGAGATTCCGTCATTTGTAAGTGTAAGTGTAATGGGAAAGATAAACACGAATAGTTATCAACAAGTCACAAGGATCTTAAGCTACGTACATTGACCCTTGCATACAGTTTGATGTCGGTACACCATGAATTGCCAACAGATCGACCCAGACCCAAGATATATTGAGCTTAGTATTCAAGTACTTTGTTTGATAACCCTTTGAGACAGAACTTTGTCTTTAGCAATCTTTAATCAATAATTAATAATTATAATATATTTCAAGAATTTTAACAAAGTGCTTTACTGTATATTATACTTTGTGAGAATATCAAACCACATTTGTATGTATTATGGCCAATGTAAATTGTATACAATTATAATAAAACCTTTTCAAATAAAATAAAAAAATTATAAAAAAATGCTACTAAATTGTAAGAAGTCAAATTGAGTTAAAGTTTAGATTAGATCTGGTTAATACCGTGCACACATTATCATCAGAAGCAGCATGCTGTAATGAACATGAGGCACTCTCTAGCGAGACTACTACAAGAAAACACAGTGATGAACACTAAATAACCGCTTACCAAGAAATGCTATGGAACCTCCAATGAATAACATAATAAAATCTTGGTTTAAAATAGCAGCTTATAGAGAAGTAATAGATTAATCATGATCTCCACTAAGTGGCTGTTTTACAATCTGATTGTAAAACTAGATGGATGTTAGACTGCATGCAGTCGAAAATAATGCCTTCGCCACAGAGCAATTTTACAAACCAAAACAGAAGCAATTTGAAAAATTCAAGTTTGATTGTAATCCATGAACAGGTTCTCAGAATAGGGTGATAACAAGCTATTTTTCTGTACGATCCTTTAAACTTTGAGCTCATGACCCTGCAAGTTACATACATGTCCCGAGTTTGATAGTAATCCATCTGTCAGTATTGACATTGCGTTCACAAGCTATTTTTGCATACATGAGCCCCATGACCTTCGACCTTTGACCTCATGACATTGGCTCTGCAAGATACATACATGACCCAAGTTTGGCGGTAATCCATCAATCGGATCTTGAAATAACGCGTTCACGAGAACAGAACATACAAACGGACGGACGGACAACCAGAAAGCATAATAAAGAGTCGTGCGGAAGTCGCAGTTATGAGATGTCTTGGCATTGACTAGCTTATCAACTGAAAGTGCAGCAAATCTTCATTGGGATGAATCGACTGAAACACAAGCAACATCACAAAGTCAAAGGACTATGCAGACTTGGCCAAAAATTGTTTGCATTTTTATATCACATCATATATCACTGACCAAACAATGCACATAGGCAGGCTGATAAAACAGCTCAAAGCAATAACTTGATGTGAAATGCATTAAACTGTCCTTTATGGTCAGCTCTGCTTGACAGGGGATCTGAAGGCAGGAGGCCTTTCAACAAAACATTTGTCTTGTTTTAAGATGTCAAGTTGGACTGTTCATTCTGGAGGAAAGCTGTGCATCTCTTCATCGGTTTGGAGCCCAGTCTGGAGAGCTGATCGGGTCAGTCCCCAGAACTTCTCTGGTTTGAGTTTCCTCTCTGTGGCAGTAAACTTCCATCCCATGTGGCTGGTGCATGTACGACACTGGAGTATGGTCCATGCATACCTATTAACAAAGATGGGGATAATAAATCATATATCTTCTTATTCTTGAGTGCTACTTCTTTTTCTCAGATAAGGACAAGAATAATGTGAGTTGAATATAATACAGCCATCAAGAAAATGTCCACCTATCCAAACACACACATTGTCAAGTTCACACTATTTTGTCTCATACAATGTCACAAGCATTAAAGACTTTAATATACCTGATGACTGAATCAAGTTGCTACCTCCGATATATACTTCATATCAAACTAGTTGTTAAAAGAAATTATATTTGTCATATTAAGTATGTTCCCTTTTTCATGAGAATTAAAATCAGATGTGCCACAGAGTGACTACATATTATATGCATTGTGGTGTTTCATTTTGCCACAAATAAATATATTATATCATAATATTGGAAGCTTTTATCAAATAAATAATTGAGCTACATCAGCGTATTTTCTCACTTGAATGGCTATCTGGGATATACCCACAAAAGTTATTACCAAAAGCTTAGGCACAATGTACATTACATCTCACTAAAAATTGAAACATGGGTAACCAACAAATGGCAGATGGGATACCCTAAAATCCCCTTGCGCAAAGGAGTCGTAATAACAGACTAATGCTATATCTTACATGGTGGAATGATTATCACCTGAAATGAAAGACTTCCATATCAATGACAATGTGTGATTAGAACCATGTAAGGCTGGCGCATATCTGATTTATGACATGCTGAGACTCACTAACGGGCAATGTGTGAGATTGGATATCTTACCCTGGGAACCAGCTGTTCTCTTTGGAGGGTCTTCCAATCAAGTTGAGATTCTGAGCTCTGTAGACGGTTAGTGTCTCGTGCACATAGCCTCCAGGATTCACATAGGCAGCCATAGGCCCATCAAGGGACATGCTGTACAAAACAAATGATACAATAGTAATAGCTAAATTTATAAGGTGCAGATTTTCATCCAAAGGGATGCTGAAAGTGGCTACAAAGCAGGCTTTCTACTATTACCCCCAAGATGATAAAACTATTCCAGAATTACCACCTAATGGGTACCCATATACAACACCTTGGTTGATAGCGGCTATTAGAGATTGAAGGTATAGACCAGTTTTGGAAACGCCCCCCTCTCAAATGAAATGGAAGCTCTTATTATCATGTGAAAGAATATGTTTTGACTAATACGTGATTATACAAATTTTGCAGAGAAACCACCCACTAATTGATATATTTAGTAAATTATCATATCGATCTGGCCTGGATACCGGTAGATATCGCGAATGCTCTTCAAAATTGAACATTTAGGCATATATTTCTGTTTTTTGCAAATTTAGGTTGAAGTATTGTCATCTAAACTTCTGAAGGCTATATTTAAGCAATATTCAATGGATATTTTGCACCCAAAACCTTGAACCGTAATTTTACCACTACCGGTCTTTGTCTTTAATGTCTAGCTAGGATGATAGTGCCACTGTCGAGGCTCTAATTGCAAAGCATTTGATCATCCGTCAGGCAACATATTAAAGGGATTGGGTATCTTTGTCTCAGATTCTGAAACAAAATCCTGGATTTAGCTCATGCTGCAATCATAATTATAAACCTTTAGGTCAGTCAGGAACCCCATGACTTGTACAAGCCAGTCACTTGTCTGATTATCACGATACTTATGATTACAATTGATTAGAAATCAAATATAACACTACAGTCTATTGGGGAAAATGAGTATGGTCAAACCGGTCACTCAAAGATTTTTAATTTTTTTGAGGTACTTCATGATCATTTACAAGCTCACATTTTTTTTAGGGCTTCAATATTACACCATATCATAGACACTGATAACACGTAAGGCCATGCATCTCAGATTTAACATTGTTAAACAAAGCCTTTAACAAGACCACAACACCTCTACATGGTGTTATGGAAAAATGCTCATAATAACACCAAATGCGTAGCTTACATTATAGGCAACATAGAATGGGTAACAAAACATAACATCACATTCATCCCTTGAAGAGGACTTCTAATTTCCAACTACAAATCTACAAATCTACATACCAATTATACAAATGTACATGTGCATATATTAAACAGTGATATACTATTTAACCATAAATATATTAATCATGAACAAACACATACTAAGTTTGACTTTCTCAAAAAAAAGATTATCAAATCTACAATTCACTTTCACTTTCAATGTTCATAAGAAGATGCACTCATAACAGTTTCCAAGAATTCACTTTCGATATGCAACACAAATAATTTCCCTGTGACACCAATCATGGGATAGGCATACAAAAGGCATCAAGATTATTGAACTGTTTCCGGTGCAAGATTAATCTATTTCTATGGAGCTAAATACGATCAGACATAAGTTATTATACAAATAATGAATGGTTATGAGTTCAATAGTGCGAATATTTTCATGAGTTGAAAGATTAACATTCTATTCAACGAGGTGTCAGCGGAGTTGAATAGAATTAACGTTAATCTTTCAACGAATGAAAATATTTGCACTATTAAACAAATGAAAAACATTCATCATTTGTTTTATACAACATCAAAGAAGATCTAATAGAATCAAAAAATTATGCTTTACTCCTTATATTTATTAAAGTTGGAGTCAAGCCTTCTCGATTACATGCATTCAGATTGCCTTGGCGTCAGATACACACAGGGATACGCGCACGGCAGAGAGGTACGCAGTCTGCATATAACCAAAAATGCACTCTGCATATAACCAAAAATGCACACCAGTGCAATATAACATCTATTGAATATCATGTGACCAACAATCCTCCAATCAAATGACAAGGATCCACGTAGGTGTTGTATTAAAGTTATTATAAGTTATTTTTCAAAGGCACTGTGTAGCACAAAGCAAACCTTCTGTCAGTTAGTGCCTATTGCTTTGTGCATAATTGCATGTGTGTCAAACAATTGACCGGGCAGCGAGACAAGGAAAGCAACGGGAGTGGTAAGGCCTACAATAAACTCACCAAAATACATCACTCTTGTTTGCAATCTGAGTACTGCATTCTCTGCAGCAGAGTACAGTACACTGTAGGGGAAGAAATAAAAGAGTTATGTTAGACAAAATACAATACATACATGTATATTTATATAATTCATATTCAAATACATTTATTTGCTTGCAGACTATTTCATTTCAAGTCATAGTTTTTTTTGTATTCAATAAAAACAAATTTGCCGATGGACATATATTTGTAAAAACTTTCCTTTTCCTTTAAGGGGCTTCAACGCATTTTTATATATGTGGATGGAAAGAAAAACTATCGCAGAACAATACATGTAGCTCACTTCTTGAAAATACTGAAAACTGTCCCTTGCTGACTAAGGACTAGAAAATAATAAAGCATCTGAACTAAAATTGGCTTAAGTGTGTTTAAGAACCAACTCCAAGAACTTACGGTATCAGCTTTAGGGGCCAACAGTTCAGGCTCCTTCTCATATCCCATGACTGCAGGTTTTTCAAAGCATACTGCGCCTCACATTTTTGTATTGTATTACACACATACTGGAGTGTGTATAGGTCCTTTGTCACGTACCGCCTCTACTTTTTTCACGCCTACTTCCCATTCATTTAGTACATAGAAATTTAGTAAGTAGCAGTTTACCATGGCTTATGTGACTGAGCCTTAAAAGTCTAGCTTACAGCATTGTGTGGAATGATAAACTAGTAAAACTGGTGTAGGACAGTACCTTTTGCAGGAGTTCCAGCTCTTTCCTAAGTCTCTGTACGGGACTGTCGATCTTTAGAAGGCCAATTCTCTGAAGGTCATCTAGAGGCATGTTACTGGCAACCCAAAATGAGAAATCTGCCACAAAACGGGTAAAATCTTTCTATTCAGCTATGAATATGATTAAACTTCCACAATTATACTGGCTAAGGTTATTATGAAATTAGTCTACAGGTCTTGAAATTTCTCAACCACTATTAATAAGTGACACGGAATGAATGAAACTGGTTTACTATTCCAAACAATGATATGTTCTCATACATGTAATAATAATAATAATAGTAATACTCAGCTTTTATATAGCACGAAATACAATTAAATCTCTACTGAAGCGCTACCAAACTTGGAGATTATCACCCCAGCTTTAGTGGTGCTGCCATTACGGCGCTGCCATTACAGCGGCCACCTCAGCATCTCTCATCATCTTCTGATGGAGCAGCATCATCACTCCAACATTATCAAAAGCCTCAGACATATCAAAATTAATTCCTGCCAGGTACCCATTTACATCACCTGGGTTGAGGGTGGCAAATGTAGATCAATTTCTTGCCAAAGGACATTAGTGCCGCGGCTGGACTCAAACTGCAGACCTTGTGATCGACAGTCCGGCAACGTAACCACTTGACCACAATACCTCTACATGTATAATGAAAACAATTATTCTATCATATTTTAAACGACCCAAGATAAGTAAGCCTTGAATGGAGCGTGGTGTAAGGAATATGACATCAAATATCGATGTTCCACCTTCAAAAATCAGATATTTTCCTAATACCAATATAAGTTCTTGATGTTGTTACTTTTTCTAGAGGCATAGTTAGCTTCATTGTTCAATTTTGGACTTCTGTGCAATGTAAGAACATGCACATACGTTTGTAGTTATGAGTTACATTTCTTGTGAGGCTGCAGAACCTTTGAAAATAATAAACAAGAACTCTATTTTTGAATACATTCCCTCCTAAAGGGCTAGTTCTTATACCGTATCTCTCTTTTGACTTTCAACTTACTATTTCCAATAATCTAGCTCTACTATTCAATCCCAATAAAAATTATTTATCCTAAAAGTTTCAACTTACCAGAGGGGGAAGCAGGCATATGTTTCAGTTGCAAGGAGTTTTCATACCAGCCACTCAGCTCATTCTTTATTTTCACCATCAATGCATCCTATAATAGAAACAGTAAGGAAGAAGATAGAAAGTTAGAAAGATTCCTAATATCTTAAGGGTACTAGTTATTTAATATAACAGAAGCTACACTACACCATCATTGCTTAGCATCTGTTTTACCAAGGCTGTGGGGTTGGACTTTTCATTTTCCTTCTGGCCCTTCTCAACACCTTGTATGCTCTTGTACCTTCTCCTATTGTCTCCTTCCAGGTTTTTCAGGAAAAAATATATTTATTATCAAGCAAATCAGCCATAACAACCGTAACATTAATCCGTCACTGATAATTTTCTCAAAAAATCTAAACTAAAGGTGGTAAACCCCTTGGAAAAAAGCGACAGAAAAAATTACATACACTTCATATTTCTTTATTACACAACACAAAGATAAGTACACATATCTATACTTGTCATAGAAGAACTGTCATAGTGCTTCATTCACTTGACTCTTGTTCCAAGGGTTGAGGGTTTCAAATTCTAGCTCAGCACTAACATCATTTGGCAAGACATTAGTCCACATTTGCAACTCTCCACCCTAGTGTTAAGGGATACCTGGAAATTGCTGAGGTAATAATAATTGCAGGGCCCACAGGAAGAACAGCATTGAAGTTGATTCTCTTGGTAAACAAAACAAAATTAATATTACAATTTTTTTCATTGTTAACCCTTCTGCCTGGCCCACTATGAAAAAACTTTGAATCGACTTACTGCGTCATACATCTCATAGACCCATGGGGGCCACCAGGTGAGATCGGCCTCAGACAGGTGTCGTTTCCTTCTCTCCTTGAGCCACTGCATACCACCATCCTTTGCAGAGGGTGAGATGTGATGGGGAATCATTCTTCTCCTGCTGAGAGACCCTCTCCTGGCAGTGCATAGTACATCAGGGAGACGCCTCTCTGGAAGCATCATCACCTGACCAATCAGAATTCTAGAAAAGGAATGAATTTGAGTAATTAAATACGTTGGTTTGACCAAAATTATTCTTCTGTCAATATAGAGACTGATGGTGCATGGCGAACCAGTGAAGTACCATGTGCTGCCAACAAAGGGAATGAATGTAGAGAGAAGGGAATATGGTCTGTATCAAAGTGTAATAATTAGATCTGATTGATACAAGTCTGTAAAAACCCAATTACATACATACACACACTTGAAATTAGACAAATTAACCCACATGGTATATCAACACAACTAAGATTCAAATGCAAAGATTTCAATGTCAAGACAGAGTACAGTCAAACCTGCTTTGGTGACCACCTGTCTACAACAAGCACATTTTTTGTTTCCCTTGAAAGTGGTTTCACATTGAAACATGTACTAAAGGAACTTGTCTACAAAGACCACTTTTTGTGTTTCCCTTAGGCAGTCGATGTAGACAAGTTTGATAACCACCAGTCCCCTGCACTCCTCCATCTCTCTCTCACTCACCCATCAGCCTGTCTTCTCGTCTCCATCACTTTGAATCTCTGTCTTCCCATGGCCTTCAGCCTCATCGTCTCTATTCCTCCATCATCCTCCTCCTTAGCGCTGAAGATCTCTGCCGTCGTCCCTACATCAGGGATGGAGCTGTCCTGTATTGATGCTCTATCACGACTTAAAGATATCAAGAATCAAATGTAAAAACGACTATGTCAGGATTATTTGCAATTGCACAATTTAGGTGCATGCATTATGAGATATAAGCGCTAGCATGCTTGGTATTTTGCACCTGTGTGACATTGTGGGATCATATATGAATCACATGCATGCCAAGGATCCATTTATACTTCCAAGGATAAATCTTTGCACTACACAATGCACAAGCTCTCTACTGGGTGGGTGTTTTTTTGGCCAAAGAAAAAGATGAAAAGATTGCATCAATTAGGATGAAATAGTGCTTGGTATGGAGTATTGGAGTAAGAAATAGGGTGAGATGGAGAATATAATCAAGAAGACCCCTACCCCCCCTCCCCCCTCCCCCCTCCTGATACGAATGGTTAAAGAAAGGGAAACCAGAGAGAGGGAAACCAAGAACTAACTGGGAGGAGAAATTAAGACATGGAGTGGAATGACACTGCAAGAATGTACTAGGCTGGCAGAAAACAGAGATATGTGGAATAACGTTGAAATCAACCTTGAAGCTGGGATAAGATACCATGTAGATAGATTGATGCACACCTGTAATACCCTATTACACACTTGCACACACACACTTTTTTTTTCTTCCAATAGTCTTTTTTTATTGATTACAAACAATACAAATTAATTTTATAAATAAAATACAGTTGTTTTTCCTTGACATGAATTCAAAACATTTTCATTACATTTTGTTCTTCTCTTACACACACACACATACACACTCACCTATCATAGAGCATTCCAAATGTACGGTTGTTCTGTAGAATGTGTTTCATCATGCTGATGAGTCTAGGATTGAAGAGATGAAGAGGGATGGTCTCCCCTGGTACCAGGACCACCCCTGGAAGCTGAACCAAGGGAAGCGATATGGAACACTCATCATCTAACACTGTGCGTCCACTGTACTCCTCCAGGTCGGAGCCTAGGTACTGTATGACAGAAAATATTTTCAAAAATTGATTGAAGATGAGAGACAATTAAATATTACTGCAAATAGCTGATAATAAAGTAGAAACTGCTGTACTTGAAGTGTATTTTGATACAAAGCACTCTGTGATGTCATTCCTGGTTCCGCACTGGGGTTTAAATACACAATTTATCAAGCAGTGACAGTGAGTTTTCAATGAATGCAGAGAATTTCAGAATAGGTCTTCAAATTCTTTGACTTCTTGCACTGTTCCCAGTTGGTGATGATGGATTCCCAGGAGGAGGAAGCATGTCCCAGAGGTTGTGAGTCAGAAGAAAATATGATATCATGTCATCTATCATACACACAAAAAAAAACTATTAGTTAATTATCCTATAAAAATACAGATATAGACCCCTAGTAAGCTTCTACTATTTCATATTCAACACCATTTAAATATGCTTGAACAGCTGAATGAAGTTTTATCAGCATTTCATGGAAGTTTGTTTCATAAAATTTAAGATACTCACCGCATGTGTTGTTGGAAGAGAAGGGTCATAAGTTATTTTTTCAGGTCTTTTGCTCACTTTGTCTTGATCTATTCTCCCTCTGATCTGCAGTCGTAACCTTTCGAAGATGCCAATTTCTGTGACAAAAACACACAAATATTTTTTCTCTTTAATGGCCTTGCTTTAGGCACAAAGAATGAGACTAGCCAGCATCAGCAAATAATAGTTATGCCAAATTATAAGGATTTCAATAAAGTTATGATCGCTATCCTAATTGTCACAATTCATTCCTTTAGGCGTTACCACTAGATTTTTTACTATCGAGTTCAAGAATCCGAGATGTCTTGTTTCCATTGACAAGTCAAGATCAATTTAGACTGCAACAGTGCCACTGTAAGTGCATCATGCGCATTCAGACTCACCGTAATAAGAATCTTGTGATACTAATCGTTTCTTTTCAGTATTGCAAAGACTTATTCTTCATTGTAAACAGAAACTGTAAAAATAACAGATTTTATTGCAGGCGAGAAAACAAGGTAAGCGATGGCCAACATGATCACTCCAGCAAAGCATAATAGAGAGTCAATGCTAATGCGTATTGACCTCTAGCACTGTACTACATGTTAATAGGCAGCATTTGCACACATGAATAGTCAATACACTCATTATACACAAATGCACACAATCATGCCGATATGGCTGATCGGCAAGTATGACAGTAGACTTACAATTTGAAATTTGAAATTATTCTTTCTAACATCGGTAAGTTGAACAAATAGTATTTTACTGCTATTTAGGTGTCATCAATTGGCACTAAACTTTGTACAGTAGTGTTTGAAATGTTGAAAATCAATATCACAGCTTTTAATACACAGCTTTAGTAATGCAGCTGTGTGTGAACATGATGAGATTCGAAGGATGATAATACGGTAGGCCCTACACAAAAATAAACAGATGGGACTGATCATAATAGAGGCGAACATTCACTTTTTCCATGGAGCCTAAAGTAGTAGAGTATACTACGAGAACATGATTAAGGCTATACCCTGCTCACCATTATTTTCATCATCATCTTCATCATCTTCTTCCACGCTGTCCTCGTCTGCATCATCATCAGGATGCTCCAGTTCTTCGTGTACAAGAAGATCGTCCTCCTCTTCGTCCGCCATGTTTGTTTACAATTTTCACCCTTATCAAATTTGCATATCAAGTACATTGCACGTGACGTGAAGATGCAGGGATGGGATGCCGCAATGAGATCAATTAGATATCTGGGAGCAAATAAATTTCAATCTCAACTCAATTACCAGGACATTCACTCATGTTGAGCTCCTGTGAAACCTAGATTGAGTCTATTCTATTTCGGGACTATTGCCTGATTTTTAGTGTAAATGAAATAGTTTGGCGATATAACAACAACTCGGTTTCCGAAACTGATTCGGGAATAAAGGCGCAGCGCCCTTGTCTGCGATTTATGTACTCATTTTTACCTATGATTGGGGGGGGGGGGGGGGGGGGAGGTGCAAGATTTTTCATTTTCCCATTTCTTGTTTGTGTAAATATAATGACTTTGATTCCAGTGTGATATTACTTGCACTATATAGGCATGTATTCATGGGAAAATAGAGGGAGAGTACTGCGAGCAAGCAGAAGACAGTTATAGCCACCTTCCTTTTAATCTAAGAAAGGATTTTAAGGGTGCGCATTGCACATTCATGATGTATGCACAAGCTACTGAGTTGTATGTTTATCAATATTGATTTCAAGAGTTATAAATACAGAAATGCAAAATTATTACTCTTTCATTTACATTGAGCTCTTTCGAGTCGCAGACTTACCTACTTGAAAAAGGCGGGGCTCGGGCGAGCCGGGCGGGGGGGGGGGGGGGGGGGCGAAATTTCGCGGGCGGGGGAGGGGGGGGGGTACCCATATTAAGATATACGGAGGTGTGCCGCTCTAATGGGTCACTGTTTTACAAGAAATCCCTAAACGTCGGGTCCCATTTTAAACAAAAATATCCTTAAACATGGGTCCGTGTTTTCAAATTTTCCAACATTTTCTGAAAATCGTGAAAATTGGGCTTTACTATTATGACCCTTAAAAATGGGTAGGGGTTTGGAGGCTTCATCGGTACACCCCCGTCCAAACCAAATCTGAGTACCCCCCCCCCCCCCCCGGGTCCCTCACTCTTCCATTAAGGGTTTATTCCACCCTAATATTAAAATGGTTTTAATATAAGCAGAATAAACTGATAATGAGAGAGACAGATCAGTGAAAGTTTGAGCAAGAACAGATTAAAATAATAAAGTAATGAATTGCTGATGTTGTCATCAGTGAAACACAAATTTGCAACACTGTGACGTATATTGCGAGCTCCTCTCCTACATTCAATTTCATAAGCTTTTGTTTTCTTCGTTATAGATGACGGAATAGATGTTTCATACAGGGGTTGTATAGAAACATGGGTGCATGTATGACTGACATTTTTTGAGGGAAAACAACAATTTCTGATTTTCTTTTAGTACAGAACAAATGGGAGAGGAGCTCGCAAAATACGTCACAGAGTTGCCAATTTGTGTTTGATTGATCACAACTTCAACAATTCATAATTTTTTTATTTTGGATTGAAATTCGCTAAAAATATGACAATGACAAGTTCCTCTCATTGTCCTGCTCCTATTAAAACCAACTTAATACTGGGGTGGACCTCCCCTTTAAAACCCCAACAGTAAGTTTGTTCTTTCTTTCTGATAAGTTCCCAAACTGGAAATAGCCATGAAAGCTTTTTATACTTCGCTTAATTCAAAATATGCCAGTATTAATAATGATATGGGCCGCGGTTATATTCGTGTAAACTATCACGGGATAAAGGAGCATAACGTCAGAATAGCGTTATATAGATTTACACAGAGATAAGGCCCTTCTAGCTCTCTACAGCATAATATATGCCTACCAGGATGTTTTTATATGTAATACCTTCTACGTGACTCTACATGAATATGATACGTGTGAGGAAAATAACCGGGTAGCCTCGTGTTCAAAAGTTTATCATTCCAATGTTTTAATGGATCAGAGGTATTTGGTTATAGGGAGAGACTAACTCTTGGGCGTTGTTTTTTACAGACTTATGTGGGGCATACTCCTCTGCAGGTAGCAACAAATGCTTTGTCTAAAGGAATATCACCTTTTGCAGCGGGCAAAAATATGTCTACAGCTATTTTGGTGATTAAAATAGTATCTCTTCACTGAGTCTTCAAACAACTATTCTTGAAAATCAACATAAACTTTGTAGGCCTATTTGTGATAGGCATTGTATTTGTTTATGCTCATCAACGAACAGGACTTCTACAAGAACAATCAATCATCAATGCTGCAAAATTTCCACTCCCTTGAGCTTCCGTAAAGTGTGACAAAGCCGTACAAGATAAAAGAATCACGGCTTTGGTCGTACATGAAGAGCGAATAATTCCTTTTAAAAGACAAAGTCTGAAGTTATGGCATTTCAAAACTTATCCGATGTCTCAAAGTCGGGTTGGGACTGGATGTCGACACCATCGGTCAATATCAGCCGTCATGCGATAAACGACACAATCAAGGGAACGATCTCGACATTGAATGAATCAATGGCATTGGATCTCGACACCACCCCGACATCGGCAATGGATCACATCACCGCGGAGGAGAGTTTGCCAGCGGTGATAGACAAGGCGATATCGATGGTGTTCGGAACGAACAACGACACGGCCCTGGTCATAATACCGAGTACCAACCCGATGGCGGTGTCAATGGAAGAGCTCTCCCGTGTTCGTATAATAACGGCCATCATGATGACCGTCGCATTTGCGATGATCAACTTGGCCATGGGTGCGGCTATCGGCAAGGTAAAGTTACAATATTGCATCGACACTCTAAAAAGGGTTATACAGGACGTGTCAATAACAAGTTTACCCTGCTTTGGTAGCTCCTAATTGACAAGTCATTATCAATATGACTTTGGAATTGCTTTCATGATGAAGAGTTACTTATTTTCTTTCCAATGATCCTCTATTCATAATGTCCATCACGGGTGAATAAGCACTAAGGTCTTTAAAAAGTGTTGTCAAAATAGTCAACAGAACTCCTATCAGAGATCGGCTCTGTAAAATAGAAACCGTTCAAAGATATGGTTTGTCATCATGTAGCAAATTCAGCATCAGAAACGAAAAACAATATCGATTATTATCTGCACTAAAAAAAAGTATAACCTTGTAACCATACTATTTTGCCTGTTGCGCGTAAGACTGCGTCAGCGATGAGGTCTTTGAGTTTCATTGCGAAAATTATTGTACACAAGTTGAATGTAAAATGCACATTGCGAACATGGTGTCGAGCCTGTGACCCATGTACCGGCCCATGAATAATTATTGCCTTCAAAGGATTGATAATCGTTGGAATATGTCACATTCAGAATGACGCTTCGTGCGCAACTGGTATAATCCCCCTTAATCCTGCATAATCCCTTCTCTTCTACCAGGTTGAATTGATGCGCCAATGGCGAGTACCTGGCGCAGTGTTAGTTGGATCCATCATACAGTTCTTGGTGTTCCCTCTGGTTGCCTTAGCGATCGTCAGAATGTTCAAGCTCCCGACACCTTACGTCACTGGTATGTTGCTCGTCGCCATCTGCCCTGGGGGAGCTATGGCCAATCTCGTCACGTTCTTCATTGACGGTAGCATCTCTGTTTGGTGAGAAGATGTCGATGGTGATGGCAATGATTGTGACAATGGTAATGGTGATGGCAATGAAAGTAACAGTATGGATGTTGTAATGGAGGTGGTGGCGATTATCATGATGATAATGATGGTGATTATGGTGATGATGATGATGATGATGACAGTGACAATGATGACGATGATGATGATGGTGTTAAAACTTCCGGCACTCTACGTCACTGGTATGTTGCTCTATGCTATCTGTCCTGTGGCATCTATGGTCAACATTATATATAAAGTCAATGGTCAACGTGGTCAAAGTCTTTATCGATGGAAACAATACTTTTGTGTCTGGTAAGAATGGTGATGAGGAGGATGATGGGGATGGTGACAATAATGATAATGATGATGTTGATACTGATAAAGGTATTGGTGGTATTGGTGGTGATGACGATGATGATGCTGATCTTCATCATCATTTTGACAATGAAGATGACGAAGATGACGACGATGTTAAAGATGGTGACGATAATGACAATGCTAATGATCATGATAACTGAGATGGTGTTGGTGATGGTGGTGAAAGCAAGGATACTATAATGGAGTACGCCTACAAACATCGAGTATAATTGTCGAGGATGGTGGTAATGATGGGGATCATGGTGATGATGATGAGTGATGCCCTCTTCGGAATCCACGGTTGCCCCTCTGACCGAATGTTTTGTCGTGAAATTAGAAATATGCGTTTGTCTTGAAACTTCCCATTTTATTTCATTACAGAGCTCACGCAGTGATACTCAGAATTAAACTATCATATATTTCTTTTTGAAAAAAATGACCATGGAAGACACCTAGGAGCACCAGGAATTAGTGTACTTGCGTACTGTATGTCGCTCAGAATTACAGTTCAATACCAACAAACTCGCCAAGATTCGCGTACGTGTGACACACTTTCTCGACATGGACGCTCCTGCCAATCCACCTTCTCTCTCTCTCTCTCTCTCTCTCTCTACCTCTCTCTCTCTCTCTCTCTCTCTCTCTCTCTCTCTCTCTTGTCAACGAACAATTCTGCCCTATGCTTCTAAAACGTATCGTTTTACAAGTAATTGTGTTGACATGCAGTTAATAATGCTGGTACTACGTACAAGGACTTGTACAAGGACATTGGAATACGTGACATAATCAATATCTTTGTCACCTGTTAAAGCGGCATCCAATTTCATCATCGTAAAAAGGTTATTCTTCACTTTCAGGACGTTTTGTTGAAGAAAATTGTTGATGTTATCGCTAGACTGGGTTATTTTTCTCCTGTTATTCAGCTAAAAAGAGTAATATCAAGTTCAACTTCACGTTCATTAATTTCATTTTCATTTTTTACAAGCAAAACGGTAACAACACAAAAGAGAAATATAATGAAAAGTCACATGGTTGGAAACAAATATGATCATGTGAAGGAAACCAATTATAATAGAGGCTTAGCTCCTGGATTACATACATGTTTGAGTATTACATTTTCATTTTAAAGTAGGTTTTATGATAATTTCAATTATCTTTCATCGTTTGAGTAATGTTTTTTAGCTAACGTCTCCAAAATGTAAATTCCACCATAACGTCTCCTTTATTTACTATTGCCATGATAAAAATCGTAATTATGCTCAGACATTTTGCTTTTGTTCTCCTTTATCATAAAGCACGAGCATGGTGCTTATCTCGACGGTGGTATCAATGGGGTACGTCCCCGTCATGCTCCTAATCATCTCCGGTGGTATCGCTTCAGCTTCTGTCGCGGTCTCCATGTGGGCCGTCGTAGTAGCCATCTTCATCATAACCGTACCTCTTGGGCTCGGCGTCATCATCCGCTCGTACAAGGAGAGCTGGGCTCATGTCATCACTATGGTACCACAAACAACTGATATAAAAATCAGTCGCGTATCTAGGGAATGTAGAGGGGAGCACGTGATCCGGGCGGCACTTGAATTGGTCAGATCGTAACATGGGTTCCATTTTAAACAAAGATACCCCTAAAAATGGGCTATACTTGTCCTTTGGCAAGACGTTAATCTACATTTGCCACTCTCCACCCAGGTGTAAATGGGTACCTGATATGCTTGAGCGCTAGTTACTTGGGCGGCTCGGATACGACCAGGGTAATGTAAAGCGCCATGAGCGTCAGAACCTGGCGGATACCGGCGCTATATAAATAACCATATTAGTTTATACTTCGAGAAAAAAATCGGCCAAAATGATCCTTAAAAATGGGTAGGGGTTTCGAGGCTCCAGCGGCACACCTCCGTCAAAACCGAATTTGAGTCCCCCCCCCCTTCCTAGAAAGGGAAGACAGATAATAATTGTATTATATGCGCCCCAATACTCATTGTGTTTCAAATTAGAAATCAGTTTGCTTAGGTTATGATATGCGAATATTTTCTAAAGCTCATTCGCTTTGCTCTCTCGCACAATTAAGTTGCTTCAGGATCTCGTGTTTCGCGCCCAATACAGGATATAGCTAGTTTATGATAAAGATTTGAAGGGGTACAATAAAGAACAACATTTTTGCTCGTTGCTTAACTTGCTCCCTGTTGCATAAGTTTCGTCATCCTTGAGTTAAATATTGCGCCCCGAATATAGGATAAAGCATAGAAAATAGTAATTACAGAGGGTCATCGTCTGAAAGAAACTCTTATTACTTTATGTTGTTTCTAAATTTATCAACATTTCTCCTGGCTTTTCATTAATTTTGCTCCCCATTTTAGGGAGAAGTGATTAGAAATAGGCTTATGGGTGTTCAAATTCGGAAACTCTACCGCTTTATTGCAGTGGTTCCTTACAAGCTTTTCGCGGTAATTATAAATAATTGGGTTTTCGAGGATTCAAAATTGCAACATTTTTACAGCTCGATAGCTTTGCTCCCTCGCTCGCATAGGTTATTTTGCCTCGGGTCCCGAAATCCCTAGATACGCCACTGGATATATTTGTTTGTGTTTGAAAGAAGAAAAAGCGGTATTTAGTAATCAATATAGGAATGTTGGTGAATGATAATAGGATGAGAGTGTTTCATTTTTATATTTTCTTTCCCTTTTCAGACTTTTGGCCCTCCCCATTCTCTCTCTCCTCCCCCACCCCACCCTCACTCTCTTGTGTATGCCGTCTTATTCTTTCTCTAGTTCATTATGTCAATTGAAAATTCCAAAATGAGGAATGTTTCAAAGTACGAGTTTTTACGATTTAATTTATTTTTCTTGACACTTTGCTGGTTGCCTTGTAACAAACCATGACAGTAACTCTAAAAAATTATCTAATGCAGCGAAAAAGTCGTCTCTTACCTAACCTTCAGTTTGTCTCTATTTTTTTGCCGTTTACGTTGATATAATTTTATTTTGTGTGTTTTGCGTGTGAAGGATTAAGTAATAAATAATAATTCATATCGCGTTTTAAACTACCCCAACAGACAAGGGGCGCAGAGTATTCAAAATGTCACCTGTATTCTTCATATTTCCTTGATAGATTGGTATCACCGTTGGTCTCTTGGTCTACATAGCCAACTCCCTGGTCCAACTCTTCATCCATACGCAGATCTTCCACGCCCCTTTCAGGGTGTACATCGCCACCGCACTCGTCGTCATCTGTGGGTTCATCATCGCTATGTTCGTCGCATACCTCTTCGGACAGCATCCCACATCCCGCCACACACTCGCCGTACATACCGTCTTCCACAACACCTCACTGACGTAAGCACAAAGACGGAATCGAATTAGTAATTATTAAAATAATTATTTATTATGCCCGTTGGAGATAATAGTGATATTTGGGGTTTATTATAGCGCTTAATAATTCATTGACGATGTCTTTAAGCGCTTTACATTTAAATTATTACACCGGTCATCGGATTAAGGCTTACCCGCACACAATGTATGCACATTCTCCACTCCCTGGGGGGGGGGGGGCACTCCCTGCAGGTGTCATTTTACATACGCTCAAAAAACTCAGCAAACCACTGAGCAAACCACAATGACATTCGCATCCTATACCAGGTACCCACAGTGGGTGGAGGGTGGAAAATGTGGATTAATGTCTTGCCAGAGGACGCTATTGGCGTTCTGGAATTAGAACCCTTAATCCTTGGATTGAAAGTCAAGTGAATGAACCAGGCCAATATCCCACGACACCTCCACCGTTCCGCACGGAGCGTCAACCTGCTGACACTTATGACTCAAAGCTACATAATTTCTGTTATACCAGCAGGATCGCAGAGACCTTCATTATATCAACTTTAGGAATATGGGTCTACTATTACCCTATTGTATTACCTATTGAAACAATGTTCGGATTACGTCATAATTAACGTTCGCACATTTCAAAAATTGATGCACAAGGCTGTTGATATAGCCCTAGGCTGATTTTTATTTGCGGTCGTGTTGTTTGTAACTATTGATTTAAATTGGAAAAAAGGAGAACCTCTGTGTTGCTGTTTTAAGTAACATTTTAATTATCGTATTTTCCTACATTCAAAACAGAATCGTCATCCTCTGCACCGTATTTTTCGATGACCCCCATTGGCGTCAACTCGTCGTCATCCCGACGATCTACGGGCCGATCAGTAGCTTGTTCGGCATCATCTACATCATCGTATACCTTACGGTAGGCATCAACAGCGAGGAGGGCAACCATCATGAGGCTTACCAACCCATCAACGAGGAACCAGGTATGTTGATATAAATTTGTCACCTGAAATCCTATGCCAAGCTCAGTAGCCTATTGTGACGTCCTCTACACGTTTGTCTGACGTAATAGGACGGCGTCGATGTGTGCATTTCTCTCAATCAATTATGATTATACTCATATGGTTTTTGAGGCGCCATGGTAGAAATTAATGAATACAGAATATAATTGCAAAATGTACAGTGTAAGCCCTATGTTGATCGACTGATAAATTTCTATCAAGCATAATAATGTTCTGCTACGCCTCCAGAAACTCGCTTAAAGCAGATAAAAACGCAGTCAAAATGACACATCGTATGCGACATGGTATATGATCCGACATTTTCCGGTGACATGAGTTCCGGGCTTTCTTTCAACAAAATATAGGGTTGGGGTTGCGATAGGTTTTCGGACAGGTTAAGGGTAATTGTTGGGTCGTGTTGGGTCCAGCTAGGGCTGAAGTTGCGATTCTGTTCAGTGCGGGAAATTGACCGCATGTCATGTCGCTAGAGCATGTATCGTACAAACAAGGATCAAAGTCGTTGATTAAGTTCATCATTATTCATAAAACAAATTTGCTAATGAGTGCCGCTGTAACGTTGTCTTAACAATGTCTTAACAACATGATCTACTGTCACGGAATGTCGATTTGCATCCTCGCGCTAGCCTCCTTCCATTGATGAACATAGGCTATTTGTCTGTAATGTGATTGTTCCTTTTGTTTTAAATTTAATCTTATTATGTACATGGCTTTGTCTGTTTTCCCCTATGAATTTTACATGCGAGGCTAAACCAAAAGCGTGGCAAATTTTTATATTACTGTCAGTCTATATTACACTCCATCCCACATCAACCCTACCCTATGTGACAACCCTTCACGTGACATCTATTTGTAGCTCCACGGTTGGATAATTCAAGACAATGGAAAAAATTAAATGACCTTGGTAATTCCTATAAAGTATATCCACTAAAATGTCTACAAAATTATGTCAATAGTTCAGAAGATGATCTTACTGAAAGCATGTGACTCTTAATTGTATACCCCCATAATAATATTAAATAGTATTAGGTGTAATGTACATGGTTCTTTACTCGTATCACATAGCCCAGGCATCAAGTACCATCAGATTTTACAGGGTTATGAAGCTTGTGATCGGATTGAGTGGCGGATGTAGGATTATATTACAGGGCAGGGAGAAAGGGTCAGTTCAGAGCTAGCAGGGTATTAAACGCCCTTCTGGCTCCAAACAGAAGTTTTAAGGATAATTATTACCATATTCTCAAGAATTCAAGGGAGACACGCCTGTGTATAAGAGACTGGTGTTATTATGATGAAAGGGGGGAGGGGTGGTGATGTATAGGCATTATGCTCTTTGCACACGAGGCGTCATTATTTTGTGTGAAGTAGGTCTGCGTCAGGTACTGGGGCGTTCTTTGACGCACCGTGTGATAGTCACATTGCACAAGAGTGAATGCAAACAGTTCAAATATTACGTTGAATTACTATTATATGAGGGTGAATTGCCTCCTCACGCAGGTTCGACTAGCGCAATAAATGACGCAATCGAAATTTCTGGTGTAATATTATTGTGCAACGGGCATCAATGAGTCAAATTGTATTTGCTTGCGTCCCTTCAGGTAACGTCGAGTACAAGGCCCTCGAAGGCGACGATGACGATATGAAGGTCAAAATCAAGATGGCTGGATTCCGACTGAAAGTGAAAGGGTACGAGGAGATGGACGGAACTGTTTCCCCGTTGCCTATGACTGGGTATTGATTATCTCCTGGGTCCAGGGTATGTTGCCCCATACGTTTTCAACGTCATCTAAGCCTATTGATATTGAAGTAGTCACCCGAAGAATCAAAGTGTTTTGAATTGATGCAAAATTCATATCATTGCGAAGGGAAGCCTTACTGATCAAATATAACAACTCCCCTCTTCAAAATATGTTTGGGGCCCGCAGTAATCATTTCTCAAAATTTTTAATTTTGAGATCCAGATTTTCTGCCTTCAGGGGTCTTCCGTAGAGTGTCAAGATTCGTGACGTCACATGCGAGACACATCTAGCCACAAAATTGCATTTTACGCCTTTCCATGACATCTATATAATTTTCCAGCAAATTATTCGTGTTTTTCCAGAGAAAATCTTTCCATAATATTATCAGTTGTCCTGAATTTTATTCGGGTAACTACGGCATTGGTTTCGTATACCCGATGATTCTATCAAGTTGCTAGCCATAACAGAGCTTAGATCAGACCAAATAAAAAGGAAAATGACAGCTCCTATAATAATTATGTAAGCGTTTGATTTATTTTAAAATTCGTTGCAAGGTATGGGTCAGCAAACACGGCACATAACCTTGGACTTGCCCACAACATGGAAGTACAGCTATAAACATGAAATTTCGTAGATATTAAAGATAAAGTGAAATGAAATCCAATTTAAAATTAATTTTAAAAAAGGAAAAGAAAAATAGGAGGCGAAAACCTGAAAGCGAAAGCTATGTTGGAAACGCCAAAAATCAAATCAAAAATAAGTTACTATTTGAAAATCAATATTGTGAATATATTAATTAGCATCGAAGTATAGAAGTTTGTAATTTTTTTTACAATGTATCAATTTGTGTAATTTATGTGTAATTCAGTTGTGAAACTGCCATTCATGAAAGATGCAATATATCATTTATCTATTTATCTTTCTATCTTGGAGTAGAAACGAAGATAGAAAATTTAGAATGTAATATGTACCGGAAGATAAGTTAATATGATAGGGTAAATTAGTTACCTTTTTTCAGTATTGTTGAACCTATTTATGTAAATAGGCGTGTAATACATTATCTACACGTGTTCACTTTTTTAAAGTTAAAAGTGACCATGCAGAGCCAGTTGCTTCTGATTTTCGTACTATTATAACGAAGAAGGGTATTAATTTTGACTGATTATACATTAAGCAATTTGAACATAGGTGGTTTGCTTTGTATATTGGTATCTATGCTCAATGTGTAATCTTCGAAGGAGCTTTGTATTATGTTACTTCATATTATGACTACGATAAACATGGGCAGGCTTTAACGTTCTACCAAAAACATGTCTCTACGAAATAATATTATATGCCTCTACATTGTAGATAACATAGAATTACGAGTGATGTGAATCCCGGATGTGAATAGCTCCCAACCGAATTTGATAGAAAGTATGATAAATGATTGTTATAGCCGAGTAATGGGCCCAGGAAGGTGAGCTAATTGGAAACAGTAGTAAAGTTATGTAACTGGTGGTTTGATGTTCATCAAGTCTAATTTTACTTTTAGAATCATCACTTATCATAGATGACCAATACAGAAACAATTCGGCGTAAAAAAAAGAAGTAATAAACCGATATGATGTAACGGAACACATGTATTTCATTTTATTTTATTGTGACAGTCTGGAATATCATTATGATATTATTCATAATGATCTTAATATGTTTGTTATAATATTGTTTACTTTTAATTATTAATCAACACTGTGCAGTTTCTGAGCAGTGATCCTCAGAAAACCCATTAGTCACTTTCTGGGTCCCGCATAATAGAGCTCTTGTACACGTCGTAAATCTTATCTCTAAAGAATGTTGTGGTTACCTCCAGAGGGTGGGAGAGTGAAGGCTACCGCCCATTTGGATGAGGAAGGGTAAAATCCACTCATTCTATCTCATACCACCTTTGAGACAACACCCATGCTATAGAGAAGAGAACTTGTACGATATTTGACTTTCCATGACAAATTCCATCCAATAGGGGTAAGTTTATATATTTATTATATATTGCCAAAATGTATGTTTTGTGTGTATTATTACTGTGTAATCTGAGAGAGAGCGAGAGTGCGATCTCTTTGATTTCCCGAATATATTGAAGGTAATTTAGTACTTTCTCTGAGATATATTCACTTGACTGTGTTCACAGCGTAAATGCATTTCATATTTCGTTGCATGAGAATATATTTGTATTAACATTCGCTATACATGTGCTGTATTTGGTTTGCTTTGTCTTGTGAGACAAAGGTCTAGAAGTATTTTATTGAACATGATTTGCATGGATACTTTGATATGTTTCCTCTATCTGAGAATTATATAGTTCCATTGATTTACTTAATCCAATCATGCTTCATAAACTTCTGTCTGTATTTCTTTACAAAGAGGTTTCACTATTGTTGTACTAGAGAAACATTGCCCTTTTTATCAGTATTAATTGTACAATCCGTGCATAACTGTTGAAATGTTATTTGTTGGATAATTTCTGTAGGAACAGAGATAGGTATATTTGCTAAGCATATATTTAGAATTCATATCCAAAATGATATTGCTTGTCGAAATAGGATCATTTGTATATATTCATATTCAGTAACGATTATTGTCTTATATCATTGTGCTTTAAGTTTATCAGGAAAAGGTATCTTTAAGGCTTGTTGCTAGGCGATAGATATTCTTGGAACATTATCGAGTAGCAAGAACAAATCTGTCATCAGCCTGAACTGCTGTTGACCAGTTGCATTTTCTGTTGAAACTATACACAATGTGCATCTGTGTAGCTTTCGGTCAATGTTTAGACTAGAGGTGATAGGTCACTCAGGAATGTAGTTACATGGCCAAAGGGGCTTAACCCCGTTCACACTATGGCAACTTGTTAGTTGGGTGTACTGTGCATTAGGAATGCATGGGTCTGTTCATGCTAGAGATTTAATCCGATTTAAGTTTAGTTCGGTTTAACTTTCATCTTTCACTTGTATTTCAAGTCGAGTCTCTGTCGTTAATAATCAATTGTTATTATGTTACACAATTAGATTTAGTTGACAAACATTATTGTATTTAACCAATTCATTTATGTTTTAACTTAATAGATATTAAGTGTTACTTTAGGTTTTAGTATATATATATTCTTTGATGCATTCTTTGTCTCTCACTCTTCTCTTCCTCCTTACTGTAATCTATATTATTTTTCGTTTACATAACGCCATATTTTGTCACCTAATTGCATAGGAGTTTAGTTGAGGAAAACATTGTAATGTGATTATAGTAGAGCCAAGCTACCAGCTTACTACTTTTATTACTGATTGTTTGTTTATTGAAACTCTTTATGAATATGACAATTTATGATTCTTTATTTTCTATTGTATTCTTTCAGGGTTTATCCTTTCTCGGGTTTATTTTCGAGAATAAAGTATGACATCAAAACAACCTGGACCACAATATTGAGTCTTCATTAATCTCATTATCTGTGTTACAAATGGCGTAATCGGCAGGATGTCAACATAAGTTATAACCCCCTACGGATGACGAGGATTGCTGATCCACTACAGGAGAGAGATCAACCAATATCTTGGAGTAGAGCCGGACACTGGTAGACCCTGGTAGACCCCGATGATCAGAGCTGGATGTATCCCCCTGGATAAGAACTGTTAATCGCGAGAGTAACCTGAAGGGCAACCCTAGCTACTACGGACTGATCGGATGCAAGTGGAGCTCAGCAAGTGCATGGAAATCCCAAGAATGAACAGTTGTTGAAAAGACTCTAAAGAACTTTAGAAAAATAATGTAATTCAGTTGCATATTTTGAAGTGCATATTTTCCCGCTTACCTTAAGTGGAGATCTAACAAACAACGCATTGTTTCTTTGCAACAGCTAGATTTCTATCTTTTTTGTGCATATAGTAACAGGTACCAGATGAGCATGGAAGAACTCAGGAAGGAGATCGATATGCTGAGGGCAGCCCTGAAGGAGGCCACAGAGGTCAAAGAGGAGGCTGGAAGGGAAGCGGCAGGTGCTACCAGGCCAGTCTACGTGGCTCCAGGGAGGCGCTTAGATGTGTTTTCCGGAAAGCAGACCCGTCCTTCTGACCAGACAGTTCACGACTGGGTTGCAAGCGTGAGAGCCCAGCTGGAGCTAAGGGGTCTCAAGGGAAGAGAGGCAGCTGCTTTTGTGAAAGAATACCTGGAGGGGGATGCGCGAAGAGAGGTAAGCGGGAGGGGAGATGAGGTCCGGGACGACCATGAAGCTATATTTGGGGTGCTAACCAAGGTGTTTGGGGATGGCAACAGCCTTCCCCAACTCCAGCAGAAGTTCTACTCATACATGCAGGGGACGTCCCAGGACCTATTGAGCTGCTCTCTTCAGCTGGTAGACCTCTTTGACAGGATGGTTCAGCTGGACCCTACCATTAAGGGCCAGCGGGACCTATCTTTGAAGAGCAGGTTCGCAGAGGCCGTGAGGGATGAGTCTCTAAGGCGCGAGCTACGGCGGCTCAACACAGAAACGTCAAGCCTTTCCTTCTTCGCCCTTCGGGACAGAGCTATGGAATGGCTGGGACCGGCACCTACCAAACCTAAGGAGGCGGCTGTCAGGAGTATCGCTGTCGAGAAAGACATCCTGGACCTTATGAAGAAGCAGGCCGAGCAGATGGAGCGCCAGCAGGTGCAACTCGACCAGCTTAGCTCCCTTCTGACAAGCAGACGACAAACACCTTCAGGGGACGGGAAATGCTATAATTGTGGCGAGAAGGGCCACATTCGGCGCAACTGCCCCAAGCCAGTTCCAGAACGAAGGCCGAGGAGAGAACAGAAACTTGGTGAGTCACCGATTAGACCTTCATCGAGTGCACCAGGTTTAAACGAATAGCTCCCACCGTCAAGAGCCTGATGGTGGGTGAGTCATTCGACGGCTCAGCGCTCTTAAGGAGAGCAGTAGGTGATTGTCCGGAGGTCAACCTCAACCTTGGACCTGCACATTGCGTTAGGTGTTTGTTGGACACGGGGGCACAGGTATCAACAGTGACCGAGGCATTTTATAGGAAGCACCTCGGTAGCGAGTTGATGATAGACGTGTCTCGTATCCTTAGCATCAGTGGAGCCCAAGGACTTACGATTCCCTACTGCGGATACGTCGAGCTGACGGTTCGGGTGCTTGGGAGGAGCTTTCACAACATGGGTTTCCTTGTTGTGAGGGACCCTCCTGAAGCAATAGGAGAGAGGAAGAGACAGGTTCCTGGAGTAATAGGCTCAAATGTCCTAAGGGACATGCGGAATGCTCTGCAAGACGAACTTGGAGAGGATTTCCTCAGGAAGATCAAGGGTGAGAGAGACGCTACATGGGTGAGTGTCTTGGCCTTGTATGAGGAAATCTTTGTAGACCCTACGACCAAGCTCGGCGGACTGGGAAGAGTGGCCGGCATTGCACCAGTATTACTTCAGGGAAGGTCTCTACAAACAGTTCAGGTCTCGGTTAGACCTGCTAGGAAGGGGGAGATACGCACGGCGATCATCCAGGAAATCGAAGGAGAACATCTCCAGCCTGGCGTCAAGGTAATATCATCCCTCCTTCATATCACAGATAACGGTTTAATTAATGTTCCTGTAATGAACCTTTCAAGCAGAGACATTTACATTCAGCCTAGGACACCAATCGGGATCGTTCATGATGCTTCGGAAGTCGACCGACAAGAGAGTCCTCAACCAGCCTGGGTCGAGGAGCATCGACAATCTTCATCTCCTGATGTCGAACAGATACTTCGGAGGATGCAGCTGGGAGACATCTCCCTGGAGCAGCAAAGAGCCATGGAGGAGCTCATAGGGAAGTATCTGGACGTCTTCAGCAAAGATGAAGATGACATCGGCCTGTGCAAAGACGTAGACCATAGGATCTACACTACCAATGATGTTCCAGTCAAGGTTCCACATAGGCGGATCCCGCCCCATCATTGGCAGGAGGTAAGGGAATACCTCAAACAGTATCTAGATAAGGGTGTCATCAGAGAGTCGTCCAGCCCCTATGCAGCCCCAGTGGTTTTGGTAAGGAAGAAAGACGGCAAGCTCAGGTTATGCGTTGACTACCGCGCTCTTAATTCCAAGACGCATAAGGATGCATATCCCCTTCCAAGGATTGAAGAAGCATTGGAGGCATTGAGAGGAGCTCGCTTCTTCTGCAGCTTGGACCTTGCCCACGGATTTCACCAGATCCCAGTAGCTGAGGTAGATATCCAAAAGACAGCTTTTCGCGTTGGTACTGGCGGGTTGTACGAATTCGTAAGAATGCCTTTTGGTTTATGCAACGCACCAGCTACCTTCATGCGGCTAATGGATAAGGGATTCGGCGACCAGAATTTTCAGACAATTCTTACCTACCTTGATGATATCCTTGTGTTTGGACGAGACTTTGACGAAACTCTTCAAAGGCTCGAAATGGTTCTGGGACGCCTTCGCAAGATGAACCTCAAGATCAAGGTGGAGAAATGTCACCTCTTCAAGAAAAAGCTCAAGTATTTAGGGCATATGGTGGAAGAAGGAGGCATCTCTCCAGATCCAGACAAGATCAGGTCCATCCAGGAGTGGAAGACGCCCAAGACAGAGACAGAACTCCGGTCGTTCCTTGGACTGGCCGGGTATTATCGAAGGTTCGTTCCCCGATTTGCAACAATTGCAACACCTCTTCATGCTCTCGTTGGAGGAGCACAACAACAGAAGAAGAGTAAGAGCAAGGGCAAGAAAGGGAAAGTACCCAGTGATAGGAGAGTGGTTCATGGTTTGTCGGTAGCAGAGGCCTGGGACGAGAGCTGTGACAAGGCGTTTCAGGAACTGAAGGACCAGTTGACGTCTGCACCCTTGTTAGGTCACCCTGACTTCACTAGACCACTCATCCTAGAGACTGACGCAAGCTTTCATGGACTTGGAGCAGTACTCTCACAGAAGCAAGATGGCCGCTTAGTCGTTCTTGGATACGCTAGCAGAGGACTTCGACCCCACGAGAAAAACATGAATAACTACAGTAGTATGAAGTTGGAGCTTCTCGCGCTCTATTGGGCAATCACCGAGAAGTTCCGGGACATTCTACTTGGGGCCGAGTTTGTTGTTTTTACGGACAACAATCCTCTGAGCTATTTGCAGACGACGGCTAAGCTGGGAGCAACAGAGATGAGGTGGCAGGCGGACCTTGCTCAATTCAACTTTGAGATCAAGTTCAGATCTGGTCGGCTGAACGCTAATGCAGACGCCTTGAGCAGGAAAATGGACCATGGGATTGAGCAAGGGAGACTCGAAGAAGTTGGAGCTAGTCTGCAAACCCATCCTTCGTCTTTGTCCACACCGGTGCCATCAGCGCTTGCGGTGAGAGTAGAGGAAGCCTTAGAGATACCGGACACATACACCAGCAAGGAAGGGACAGCTTTGTCTACCCTTCCGTCCTTGCCCAGAGAAGAGTTGGCAGCTCTGCAAAGGAACGACCCTGTCATCGGAAAAATGCTGACCTACAAGGAGGAAGATAGTGCCCCGACTCCGAGGCAGATGGCTAAGGAAGACCAGCCAGTTCGGAAACTGTTGCGACAGTGGGGACGTCTCCTTCTTGTAGACGGTATTCTACACCGCAGGGTTACGCTAAGGGGGCAACCTATCAATCAACTGCTGGTACCTGGAGCCTTGAAAAGCAACATCCTACGTGCACTCCATGACGAAGTTGGCCACCAAGCTTCGGAAAAGACCACCAGGTTAGCGGTCCAACGATTCTACTGGCCAGGAATGGAGGCAGAAATCCGCACCCACTGCGAAAGCTGCCAGCGATGCTTACTCTCCAAGGCAGGGAAGAAGTTACATCCACAAATGGGATCACTCATTGCAAGGGAGCCCCTGGAAGTACTAGCGATAGACTTCACCGTGTTAGAGCCCAGCTCTAACAGGGTTGAGAATGTCCTAGTACTGACAGACGTCTTTACGAAATATACACAAGCCGTACCTACCAGAGACCAGCGGGCAACTACGGTCGCAAAGGTACTTGTAAACAACTGGTTTGTGAGATTTGGAGTACCTAAGCGCCTGCACAGCGACCAAGGTCGGAACTTCGAGAGTGGTCTAGTAAAAGAGCTCTGCAGAGTGTATGGGGTAAAGAAGACAAGGACAACTCCCTACCATCCAGAGGGCAATGCACAATGTGAACGCTTCAATCGCACGATGCATGACCGGCTGCGTACTCTTCCGCCGGAGAAGAAGAGAAGATGGCCTGAACATCTGCCTGAGTTGGTGTACGCCTACAACTGCACACCCCATTCTTCAACGGGTTATTCGCCATATTATCTTTTCTTCGGCAGAGAGCCGGTGCTGCCCATTGACCGCCAGCTAGGACTTCAACGCTCTGAATCCGATTCAGAGTGGTTGGAGGCTCATCATAGACGCCTGAGGACTGCCTTCGACCTGGCAAGACAGATGACAGAGAAGGAAGCACTGAGAAGACGGGAGAGGGTCAATCGCACCGCTGAGGACACAAGCCTTGTCATTGGAGCACGAGTGTTCACACGGAATCGTGTCCTTGGACGGAACAAGATTCAGGATGTTTGGTGCGACACTCCGTTCAAGGTGGTAGCCCGACCCAACCCCGAGGGGAACGTGTACGTCATCGAGCCGTTACAGGATAAAGGTCCACAGAAGACAGTTCATCGTCGAGACCTTCTAGACTCACGTGGACTGGTAGGTGACATCAACCCAGATCGTTTCGATGACACCACACAGGACCCTCAACAGACCGCCCTTCCATCCAACAACCAAACCGACGAAGACGACGAGCCGCGAGAGGTACTCTTTCGAAGACCCGATGAGAATACCAATCTTACAGATGACAATCCACCAGGTACTTCCGAAAGAGTAGGGGAGCACCCAGCTCCTCAGGTTGAACTAGAAACTGAACAGCAGATAGCCGAAGATGAAGTATCTTTAGCTAGGGACTCTGACGTTACTGAACCTACTGTTTCCGATCAGGAGGACGAACCGGAGGACGAACCTGTAGTCCCTGTCAGAAGGTCTGCTCGGTTGAAAGGGAACCCCCCACACCTCTCGTCCGAAATTGTAGCTGACATTACCAAATCTCATTTGTTGTTCATGCAAATGATGTCTAATTCTAACCCAACTCACTAAATTATTAAACGATTGTTTTCGTATTTGTTTGTTTAAATCATTTTGAATCTTTGAATTGTCCAAAGTTGTCAGAGACGACAACATCAAGTAGGGGAGAATGTGACAGTCTGGAATATCATTATGATATTATTCATAATGATCTTAATATGTTTGTTATAATATTGTTTACTTTTAATTATTAATCAACACTGTGCAGTTTCTGAGCAGTGATCCTCAGAAAACCCATTAGTCACTTTCTGGGTCCCGCATAATAGAGCTCTTGTACACGTCGTAAATCTTATCTCTAAAGAATGTTGTGGTTACCTCCAGAGGGTGGGAGAGTGAAGGCTACCGCCCATTTGGATGAGGAAGGGTAAAATCCACTCATTCTATCTCATACCACCTTTGAGACAACACCCATGCTATAGAGAAGAGAACTTGTACGATATTTGACTTTCCATGACAAATTCCATCCAATAGGGGTAAGTTTATATATTTATTATATATTGCCAAAATGTATGTTTTGTGTGTATTATTACTGTGTAATCTGAGAGAGAGCGAGAGTGCGATCTCTTTGATTTCCCGAATATATTGAAGGTAATTTAGTACTTTCTCTGAGATATATTCACTTGACTGTGTTCACAGCGTAAATGCATTTCATATTTCGTTGCATGAGAATATATTTGTATTAACATTCGCTATACATGTGCTGTATTTGGTTTGCTTTGTCTTGTGAGACAAAGGTCTAGAAGTATTTTATT